TTAAAAGTGCGATAACTGACGAAATAAATGCGCATAAGCATTCATTTTCAGAAATAAGATGGTAGGAAGAGCTTATAGAGGAGGTTTAAAATTCACTTAAAGGTGGTTTTTAGTTCTTTTAAACTATAATTTATTCATACTGTGATCAAAATACACCTTCAGGCTACATAAAAACTGCATTAAAAATTTTAAAAGCCACAGAAGAACTCGAAGAATAAATATATACGAAATATATTTATAAAGAATAAATCTATATAATGATATTACTCTATACTTTGAGGTAGGCCATAATATCTTCTAATAAGTAAATGTAAACATAATTTTTGCATTTACCAAATGTAAAAAGAAAGTTTTAAGCGATTTCTAATACGTACTTCTAATGCTTATATGTACATAAATGATTTAATCACTCACCTTGGAAAAATTAGTATATTGAATTTATTATTAATCGCCGCTTGTAATTCTTTTCTTCTCTAGATACAAGTAGTACAATAATATCAAGTTCCTTGTCAGTTTTACTTTTTTTATAATTACGCTACACTTCGTTAACTAACTTCTGTACATTTTGAACTTTCGTATTTGTATGTTTTTTTTTAAGCTTTCAAACATATTTTGGTATAACTTTCTTTATAATAATCAAACATAAAACATCAAACATTTAACTTTGGCTAATTAAGTCAACGGTAACACAATCTTTAACTTGCACTATTAGTACGTATACTCGTCAGAGTATCCTAACAAAACAATGCCCTGACGAAGGAAATTTAGACAAGACAATAGCGCACGTAATTTCGCTGCTCTTAGCATTCGGCTTAGTTTTATATATTCCAAAGCAGTGAAGGATCCAGAATTTTTCTGGAGTGGGTTGCTTTATAAAAATTTTCCTAAAAACATATTTTTACTGATGCCACTTGTACATTCTGAATTCGAATTAAAAGATTCTATATTACCGTGCTAAAGTCGGAGCGTTTGCACAAAATCTTTAAATGCTCAAAATGAATTGATTTGTCCTATTTGAAGACGTATATTCCAGTCATTATAGTAAGTTCACCTCGAAATTCAGATACCAGCTGTAAGTCTGTAAATACTTGTATATTGACACCTAAAAGTTGTCTCAAAACCTACATATGGTAGGGTGTACGCAACTATTAAATTTCAAGGTCAAGGTCACAAAAATCGGTTTTTGCGCTTTTTGTAAATATCTCATTTCTTATGAGTTTTTTGCTATTGGATATATCAAATATTGTAGAATACAAATTCTCTACAAATTTTATTTACAATTTTTTCATACGGTGAACCGTTTTCGAGATAGAGGCTTAGAGCGCGCGTCACAGCATCACTTCAGGTCAACCGGTGTCTCCGATCAAACGCGCCATATATAGTTGATGAACTATCGATAAATCAATGATTATAAATATTTGTCAATTTTATTAACTATTATATTATATTTTATCATTTTTCTACCCTATCCACTTTTATTTGTATTAATTTATTTAACAACACTTACCTGCCCTCAAATTGCAGAATTGTTAATGAAAATATAGGAATTATATTTGAATTTAAACCTTATTAATATTAATAACTTCTTACATGATAAAAAAATTAAAAATGTACTAAAAATATCATTTAATATTAATTAACCGCTTAATTGACACCGGTTAATTGATTTTCCTGCTTTTTCAATCAGTTCATCGTCAAAATTATTTTGTATGCAATATCAAAATACGTGTAAATTGTGCTTAATTGGTTTTCCCGCATAATCGGTATTGACATTTTGGATGGTGCTGATGTTGAGAGCAAAAGAAAGAAGATGATCCTCCAAAGCCTCCGTCATTTCTCGAAGTTTTAAAATACTACAAGAAAACTAACGTTTCTATTTCGCTAAGGGTAGAGTCGGATTTATTTTCCTTGAATTTTAGCATTGGTAAGATTACATTTATATACTCTCACAACTGTTTGCCACAGAGTATAATATTTTTGATCACTTTGGTATACAGCAGATTAAGGAGGGCATCTGCAGTTTAATTTTTTTCAAGTAGGCGTGGTCCCGCCCCTAATAAGTTAATATCTCCTAAACCGCTAAGCTATAATAACAAACTTCACTGAAAGCAAATGGTTTTAGCACCTCTACCTACAGTGTGAAAATGGATGAAATCGGGTGACAACCCAATAAAATATTTTGCATTTTTAATTGTTTATACTTTGTCAAATAAATGAACTTTTTACCTTAAAGTTATTATAATTTCGCAAACTGCATATGGGATCTTAATTAAATTAAAATAAATCAAGCACTAAACAAGCCAGAGACATTAAATTTTATCTCTGAAATGGTATAAGATGACTTTATAGGAATCGAGTTCAAATTAGATAGTGGGCGTGGACCGCCCGCTTTAGGTGAAAACTCATATCTTGGGATCTGCTTAACCGATTTCAACCAAATTCGTACATATCACTTTTGTCATTTTTTTTTCTTATAGTGCGAATTCGGATTACAACCACGAATCTTTCCATATAAACCCATTTTAAATTTCATCTGATTTTTCACTTTCCACTCGAGCAACAATGATTATGTGGACCCAGTGCTATAGTTGACTTTTTACCGAAATTATCGGTCAATCCACAAAGAAATCTCAAACGAGTATACCATTTGACTTTGCAGAAAGTATAAAATGTTCGGTTACATTCGAACTTGCCCTTCCTTACTTGTTATTTTTACATTTAGGCGCTGGCGTTCTAATTTCCTTGTTAGAAATTAATATGCCTGGGGTTTTGTTTTGGGTGTTATTCGGTTGTGGTTTAGCTTTTCTATCTCAATATTCCACGGCTCTTTTATTGCGGTTTAAGGTAAATTGTGTTTTTATCACATCATTTTAGTTCTTTGGGTTCAAGGGTCTCCGTCGGGTTTACAGCGCTTTCAAAGTGTGAGGTATAGCGTGGTTTATCTTATTGTTAATCGTTAGCTTGACGAATCAAATTGTGTTCTCACGGTATTGGCGAATTTATGCTTGTTCGCTTAATTTGTTGGTTGCATGGAGCGGCCTGTTTTTGGCTGGATGATTGGATGGGTTGTTATCTCTTTAAATTCAGGTAGTGCTTGTTTTTGTCGCTGTGATATCCTATCTATGATATTTCTCATATTCTGTTTAATGTGTCCTTGTTTTTGGCCATATGTAAGAGCAATTAGCTCATCCATGAGCACTCCTAGTGCAGAGAGCGCTCTCTCTCTTTCGTTCATCTTTACGATGGGGTCGGTTTAAGTGTCGCTTTGGGTTGGCGGCAGATTGACTACGATTAAGCTATCATTTGATCGCATTATTATCCGATGCGGTCATATCATGCATAGTTGGGCTAGCAGCGTTTACCGAATGAGTGTTGGGTGATCGAAGGGTTTTATTGCTCCATTTAAATGGATTAATAAAGGTTTTTACTGTTTTCGCCTTAGCTGAAATTTCCGCAGCTACGTAAACAGCAAGCCCCTAGCACTAGAGTTGAGCAGAGATTCTTTAGGATAAGACCTCAGGAGTTTCTCTCAATGTGGATTGTGGGTTTTAAGTGGGTGGAAGGAAAAACACAAAAGGGAGACGACAATGCGAGCAGATGAGAGTGCGTTTGCATATTCCCTTTTGTACGGACCTTCGCCCAAAATAAATAAATATTTTAAAATTTAAAATAGTACTCACGGCTTCGTTGACTTTGCTGTGGTTTGGTTTTAGTGCAGATTTGTTAGTTGCGTGTACACTCTGTGTTTTCGTGCACTTGAGGACACTTTAGTAGTCTTTGTTTTGTGTTCTATAAATTCGGATACTCAAAACAAGTCCGTACTTGTGCACTTCACTTAATATAGAGGGGTAATGGTACGGGGTTGTATGTCAGCGGTGGGTGTTGGAAATGTCGTATTTATTGAGGGGACAATGAATGAAACAGTTTACTTGTATATACTGAAGGATTATATAAGGGAAAGCGCGCAAAAGCTAAACCTCGACAACCACTTTTATTTCCGAGAGGATAATGACCCTAAACAACACTGCTCACGATATACATATGTGGATCATATACAATAAGCCTTATATTCTTCCGACTTCTTTACAGTGTTCAGACCTAAATCGCATAGCACATTTGTGGGATAACCTTGGTAGGTGTGTCAGTAAACAAAACATTAGCAGCAAATCTCAACTAAAGACACAGAACAGAAGTGCAGAAGAATGACAAAATATAAAGCCTAGCGAAACAAAAAAAATTTGTTTACTCTATACAAAATAGGCTTAAAGAAATATTTAAACAAAAGCCCACCAAATATGATTACTTTTTATTGTACCCCCCCATAAATGATGTATTATGTAATTTGGTAGATTTATTCAAAATGAAAAATAAATTTGGTAAATTATTGTTATTTTTAAGTACTTAAGATATGAATAAAGATTTCCTTAGAACAAACCTATAAGCTAATTTTTATGACTTCAAAGATAAAGCTGTCCTTATGGTAAACTGTCCGCCTCTGTAGTAAATGCCAAGTAGTGAAACCACCCGCAGATTTTATAGATTTTCTATCAAAAATCGCAGATATTTATACACAAAATTTTGGGTTTACTTGCTATAGGATCGGATTTTCCCAAATATTATTTTTAAAAATGTTGAAAGTACCACCGTTTAAAATATTTTGTAAATATTATTTATTACTTATTACTTAGTAGATATAATTGCATATTTATTTATTTTTTCTAAATTATATCAAGTAGATTGATTTAACATTGTATATAATATATGGGTAAAAATAGGCTTCCGCGCAACCTAAGAAGTGAAGAGGAAAAGCAATAAATATGCAACAAAATTTTGTTTCGAAAATATTCTTGAAAGTTTTCATTAATCTTTTATTTATTTCTTTTCTTCTTGTATGCTTATACAATTTAAGATATTTACATTTTTTTGAGAGACGGTTAGATGTAAATGCAAATTAATATAAACTAATTCTCGGCGTTAGTTAAAAATAAAAATAGGCTTACCTTTAAATATGGGAGCAATTTTAAAAACCCCCAGACCTCCGATTGTTAACATTTGTCCCAGCGCTAATTCCATAAAAAACATTGGTATCCCAGCCAATATTAGAGTCAAGAAATATGGTATAAGGAAGGCCCCACCCCCATTTTTATAGCATAGATATGGAAACCGCCAAACATTTCCTAGTCCGATAGCAAGACCCACAACAGATAATATGAAGTCTAGCTTTGATGACCAGGAACCACGTTCCGGTAAGGCATTCTGGTTTCGCACCTAATTTAGAAAAATATAGTGAAATTAATATTGCAAATTCTATAGCATTAAGTTAAAAATCAATCCGAAAAAAGAATATTTTATTTTACTCATTATTTTCTAGCTAGTAACTAAAAATTTCTGAAATAATCACAAATTCCAACTCAAGATCACAACTAGCTGAAAAACAAACAATAGGAATGTCACTTTACTAACTTAGCAGTTAAACTGCTCCTTATATATAAATGGATTTTAAGTATTTCCGTTTTCTAACCTCACCGGTAAAGATACAATTGTTATTTCAAAATTATGGCAAGCCAACTAAGATATTTCTCCAACTAGCTAATCAATTTAAAACTTCTTTAAAGCAACTTAGATCAGTCTTTACTGTGAAAATTTGTACCGAGTTCAAGTGATTGACCGATTTCCACCATTTTATAGTCATAGTTTTCTTAATCATAATGTGGATTAGTGCCTAATATGAGTGAATTGGGTCTAGGGTTTGCCCTCATATATGTGATATAATGATATAAACTCAATCAAAGAGGCTTAAGTAAATTGGGGATATTAAGAAAAAGTCAACCCGAAAATCGGATAACATTATATTGGAGATAAGAGGTTTATACCCGAGATTTAGACCAATTACATTGGACGGCCAACAGAGCTAAAAAATTCTGAGCCGGGAATTCACCATTTTCTGTGGTATTCGCTGCTATTTAGCAGAGAAGAGAATTTATTAAAAATTTTTTTTTATTATGAAAAATTAATAAAATATAATTTTTTCGCACAAATCTGGCATGATAAAATGCGAACGATTATGCAAAAAATCATATACATTTTACTTTTTTAATAATTTTCTAATTTCACTTGTTACAAAATTAATAATTTTTGTATGTACATACTGGGGAGGAGCGAAAAAAAAACATTTTTTTTTTGCTTAGCCTTAGGATAAAATTTGTAGACTATAAAAAAGAAAATTTCGAACATATTTCGAGTTAAAATTTTTATTTCGTAAAAAATTTTTGATAAGTGTTCTAGAGCTGCTGTGGGGAGTTCTCTTTCAGGCCAATTAAAAGTTATCAACTTAAAAAAATTTGTAGTGGTCATTATTAAAGTTTTAAAAAAAATTCTTAAACGACAACATGCTTTCCTTAAGCGTTAAAATAAATTTTGCTTCAAAAACCGTCAAATTCGGTAATTTTTAATATCCTTTTATTAGATTGGGTTGTACGTATGTAATGGAATCTTAGAGCTCAATTTTTACCGGTTTCCAGAAATCTAATCAACTTGAAACTTTTCAGACGTGTCAAGGACCGATGACAATTCAATAATTAGATAACAGTTTCCTATTACTTTAAACCTCGCCTCTAAATGGTTTAATGTATAAATCTTCCAAACCGCTTAAGCTAACTCAACCAAATTTGCTGAAAAGAAGTGCTTTTTCATATGCTGTGAAAATGGGCCAAATCAGATAATAACCACGCCCTCTCCTCATCTAACAGTTATGTTAAAATATACTAAAATTGCGATAACTGACGAAATAAATGCGCCATAAGCATTAATTTTCAGAAATAAGATGGTAGGGAAGAACTTTATAAGAGGAGGTGTAAAAATTCCTTTAAATGGTGCTTTTTTAGTTTTTTCTAAACTATAATTTACTATACCTATAAATGTGAAAAGTTTAAACTAAAAAAATTTTTTTTTTGTCCAAAAAAATTTTAACTCCAAATCTACTTAAAAAGTGAGTGAGCCTCTTGATGTTAAAACTTTTTTTTTCGAAAAATTTTCTTTTTATAATCTACAAATTTTACCCTCAGGCTAAGCAAAAAAAAAGTTTTTTTCGCTCCATCCTAGAACATACATATGTATATACTTATGTCAGAGAATGTTAATGAATAGAGAAGGCTTAAGGATGTTAGCTGTTCTAAAATGTAAATCAGAGAACTTAGAAGAACGAGAAGGTGTAAACAGAGAACCTATAAGAACGAGAAGGAAAAGGACAGTGAACATTTGTAAAATTTCAGTCAAGGAATTCACCTCACACGCAGGAGAAATAAACAACATTTCTCGCTTTTATAACAGCGGTGAATCTGTACACAAACAGCTATCTCAACATGCCCAACCGGCGAATATTGAAGAGAAATGATGCTGATATCTATGCCAAACAGGGAATACTGATATGCCATTTAAAATATATTCCCTTCTATTAAACTAGTATTTACTATTTTTAAATTATTTCATATTAATTCATTTTTACTTAATTGTGAGTAATTAGTAGTAATTTAAAAACATTTTGATATATTTCTTAAAATAATTCATATAATACTTGACACCATTATGGAGTCACAAAAGTTCAGAACTGTGTTTTGCTAGGAATGGAAAATTATAACGGTCCAGATGATTTAATTCTGATCAATAGCCTCAGGTAGAGTATTTGAAATAAGCCGCCTTCAAATGAGCTTCTATAAAGAGCTCTTTTTGAAAAATGCATGCAGAGTGGGTATAACAACATTAATAATAACCCAGATTACTGTAAAAACACGGGAAGAATACTCGGAGTGGTATAACGAGACGGGTGAGGCCTAGGGCAGAGGCATCAATATTTAGATTTTTCGATAACAGCTTTGTTATACAAAAATTGAAAGTGGCTGGCTCAGCAAACGGAAGAGTGAAGCTCAAAAAGAAATCAAAACGCGATATTTTAAAAATAAAGAAAAGTTGAAAAAATTGGTAACGTAGACTGAAAATTTTTCGAGCAACTTCCGGGTTAAAATATGTAAAATAAATGTTAATTTAATACATTAGTCTAATAACTAATACACATTTCTCTTTTTAATTTCAGAATCTTCAAAAACTCTCTTTTTTCAGGGTAGAATTAAATTGTAAATGGTTAGTTTAATACTTTGTAGTAAAGTAAAAAGCTGGTGAAAAAGATTTAGTATTCAATGATTAGGTTGGGTGAGAATTTGCTGTATGTTGGTAGACAAATTCTGAAAATCGTGTTTTATTAAAATTATATCTATATATATAAAAATGAAACCCGTTTCCCGTTGTTACGCCATAACTTAAGAACGGCTAGATCGATTGGCTATTTTTTTTTTTTGTAGTTATCGTATACTCTGTAGAAGGTTCTTACGGAAAAAAATATTAAGAAAATGTCTCAGAAAGATTGAAAAGATACATTTAATTTTGCATATTTTAAAAAACGTGCGTAACGAATGCCATCGTCATTCACAGCCATAGACTATATTGAAAGAGCATCGTTTGTTCGGAAATGTGATTACTTAATTAAATTCTATCGCACTAATGTACTAATTTTTGGAAATTACTCGCCACAATTAAATGTACCGACTTTGACGGTAATGGTAATAATACCAGTGATGATTTCATTTTAATGGAAGTATTTATTAATAATAAAAAATGTATACCATGAGTTAGATTTCAGAACGCAGTACACAAACTTCGCATAACCTATTTAGTAATCTGTGGTAATCTGATACACATAACCTAACATAGCGCTAACAATAATTTTATTAAGTTTTTGATAAAGTTTGTTTTGTTTTAAAGACTAAGAAGTTTGTTGTTTGCTAATAAGTGTTTTCTAATGACGGTAAGTTCACAGGTTAATATCGATTTTTGGTAACTTTTGGTGACTACACATTATTAAAATTTGGTATACATGGTTAAACACAAAATATAAGGGAGTAATTTTTTATTTTCAGTAGGATTTTCGTTTTTGAAAATGCCACCAAGCAGACGTAGGCTGCAGAACTCGAAATACTACAAGTCAAAGATATATAAGAGCAAATCAAACTAATGAGCAACGTAAAGCTCGAAATGAAGTGTTAGCTACAATATTTATGACTTATGAACGGCTTAATCTTCTATTTTAAATAATTCGCTACTGTTGTTAATGTGAATGAAAACGTAAATTATCTAGATATACTCGGAATGACATAACATAAACTTTGGTTGAAAATTTTTGAGAGCTATTTCAATTCACCTCAATTATGCAACGGTATAACTTTGATAATCAAAAAGATTACAAGAAATATTATGTAGCAACTATTTTGACTGGAAAATTTAATTGAGAAATGGTCCTCTTGCCACGCTTTCCAACTGTCAGAACGAACGATACAAATAGAGCTTAATTAATTGAATTTGAAAATGTTTATAATTAAAAACTATAAATATTATTGTTAAAAATTAAGAACGATCAACCTCTTTCATTATTTCAAACGTTATCTACTAACAACTTTGAAAATTACTCATTTGTTTCATATTTGAATATAAAATTAATAAAATAAAAAAATCAACATAAAACATTTAATGTTTATTTGTGTTTAATAACAAATCGAAGGAAATTATTATTAACCATTTTCAACTTTGAAAGTCATCCGCTTGGTTATTCTTACATTGGAATTTATTTCATATATACAATTTTACTGTATTGAATAGTATGTAATTAATGTGTACCTTAGCCACAGCAACTCGCAGACGGGGTCCTCTAGTACTATTAATAAATTTATATATTTTTCTGATAAACAAAATTTTTTTTTTATTTTTCATTCCAGATTTTTTATAAATGAATGAATAAAATTTATGCGTATACAAACATGTATTTTTTTATGATATTATTTTTAATAAATTTTAAAAAATATATTGTTGCTCAAAAGTCGGTTTTATTTCAGTATTCATTTCAGTTGATTTTCCTATAGAGATTTGACTGGTGTAGAAGCAAATGTGCAACAGGACAGACATATGTATATCATGTCGTTTGCACATTTGTATGTATGTTTGCGAAAGCAAATGTTCTACAAAAGCATATTTCTGCGGTTATAAAAAATTATTGGGTTGGCAACTAAGTAAATGACCTTTTGCCATCTTTCAGGCAGCATCATAACCCCACGTTCATAAGACTTCTGGTTTTTATTAGCAAAAAACTGAATCAGGTACGATTTGACATCATCATCATTATTGAAATTTTTACTATTCAAGGAGTTTTTTAAAGATGGAAACAA